GGTGTTAATAATATTAAAAATAATGAAATAACAAATATAAACGTTAAAAACAAATCAAAGAATTACCGATCAAAAAGAAAAAATCAAAATATATTTATCGAATCGACTTCGACTAATAAAGTACAACATAATAATTTCATCCTCATCAACTCAATGCTCAATGCTCCACTTCTTCTCAATTCTCAAATTCAATATATCCATCGATTAATTAATTTTACCCACGAAAAAAGAAAAAAAAAATATCCAATTCCAATCAAGATTATCACTCAAGATTTGAACGAGATCACGGCAAACATCTCGTGCATAGAGGGGGACGCAACGAACCAAGAGAACGCATCCCAATCCTCTCCTCTCCTCCGCGATTCTCCTCTGCCGAAGCCAAAGTTACCAAAATCTAGATCGGTGAAGTGCATCGAACCACCGGTGCTCCCAGTTGCTCTCTAATTGACTACAATGCCGGCCACGTATGGAGCGCATTTTCTGTTTTGTTACCTCAAAACAAAGGGCACAATGGGCGGCTGATCGAGCTGAGAGGGCACTCGACCACCGATCCCACCCTCCCCTCCCCTCCTCCCTCCCCTCCCCCGGGTTGTGCCGATTCCGGAGGCGAACATTCGACGAAGGACGCGGCGTAGGATCGGTCGAGGATCAGGCGACGAAATCGAGATTGCAACATATAGTCGAGTGCCCTTTGTGTAACCCACCGGCGGAGAGCGCAATTACATCCTCGCGCCCATTGTCCCTCGACAGCTTTTTGTTACTGTTATTGTCCGGTTACCTCGTTCCGTGGCGAGGAACGGAGTGGAAAGAGAGGGGAGGGGCGAGTGGGAGAGGAGGAGAGACGACGGAGCAAAATCGAGAAGAAAAGTACGCGGACTTTCGAACTTTCAAACCAAAGGTCTGACTCAGACTTCTCTCTTTTTATTTTCTCGCGCCTGTAATTATGCTTGCGAGTATATGGGAATTAGGAGGCTGGATTATGGTTCATATAGAAATATAAATAGATTGTTTCATAATTATAAACTATGAGTGATTCTTCTTGGATTTCGTATAAAGTTAATATTCGTTGTGAAAACGTAATGACTTTCTCAAGATATAGAAAAATTTACTTTAGGACTTGTGCGCACAAAAAGATAAATATCGAAAAAAAAGAAGAAAGGAATGAAAGAATAAAACCTTTCGTCCATGCTGAAAAATTAATAAAAAGGCAAAAAGACGAGAAAGAGAGTCGATGGAATGAACGGAATACATTGTTAGAAGTAAGGTTACATATCCGAACAGGCATTGTTCGCCTTGTTGTTTCTCGAAATGACCCGCGTGTTACGCGCCCCATTGGCACGTCTTGTGGCAAGGTGCTGACCGTGCTCCATCCATCCAATGGTGGGAACCACTTGTCGACTTCGTGATCGAATGCACACGCGCAATTACGCAATTGTATCGATATACACGATTGGGAGAGGGGGATACAGGGAGGTCTCTTTTATTTTAAGCGAAGGAATTCCATCCGTCCGTCCGTCCCGTTCGATTCATTGTTTCACCGTTGTTTGTCCGTTGTTGTTTGCCGCCGCTGCTGCTACGCTTCTGATTTCCATCCGCACTATTCGACCATCTCACCATCATCGGGGATTATTATTCGCTCGGTTGGAAACGTTACAGTATTACATTGTTGAAAAGCGGTGCCTCCTCGAACGGAGGAGCACCACTCAACTAGTGGAGTGGCGGCACAGGGGTGGCGCACAGGATGCGGACACTGAATATAGGAAATTGTAACATACGGTGGCTCGAGAGTTTCATTAGATCGAGATGTTAATTGCGCGCTGCGCTATGCGATTTGCTTCTTCTCCGACACGATTTTAAACTAAGAATTTCTTCACTTTGTGTCGTTTTGTGGCTTTCGAATCGAGGAAAGATTATATGATTAAAAAGATATAAAAATTGATTTAGAATATTTATAGTTTTCTTTTTTTATTTTCCTCTCGATCGTGAGACTTTCGATTTGAGGAAAGTTTAAAAATAATGGTGCGTGAAAAAATTTACGAAAAGTTTTATTTCCTGATGAATTAGATCGATTCGTTTTACTCGAATTGATCGAATGTTGTGAGAACAACTATCCGTCCCTTCTCTAATTTCAAAGAGGCAGCCGCTTCGTAACTTGCTCTTGTTTTTCGGCCAATCGTATCAGTCGCTTTGTTTCCTCGTCTTGTTTGCAGTTAACACGCTATTTGCTTCCGTTCGTCCCAAAAAATTCTACGAAATGTCGAGACCCCTACTAGGCCGTGCCTATCCTCGTAGACAATGCTCCATACAGATACTTCTGGGCGGACTGTTTACCTGAATAATTTGTCAGAGCACAATGTTTGAATCCGAAATCCTCGTGCTTTCGAAATCTCTGCGGTCGTCACCTTTTAATCTGTGCTTTTCAATAGTACAGATTGTTGCCTATTTCCTGAGATTCCAATGATTTAAGGTTAAGATTAGGAACAAACAAATCTATTTTATCATTTGACACTTTTGCTCGTATCTTTCTCCCTTTGAACGTTCGAAAGAATTAAAGAATTTTATTCTCTTTCTTCTCTAAATTGTAATGAAATTTTTCGAAATATACTTGTTCGTATTTTTACTTTATAAATTCGTTATTTCGTTATGTAATAAATGTCATGAATCTTTCGAGGAAGTAATCGAGGAAGAAAATAACGCTGGTAGTTATCGACTAGCGAGCGTTGAGTATCGATGTAAACAGATTTATGAGCAAAGGAACACAACGACTGTTAAGTGCCAACATTTCAAAGTTCAGCCATGCGAGTCAGAAGAGTCACTCGAACGCGGTTGGAGCTAGCGCCGACACATTTTTCATCCCGCATTTCGTTCTCATCTTCATCTTACGCGATGAAAAAATTCGTGAGAATATTCTTTTACGTTTCTGAAACACGTTTCTCCTCTTCAGGTGTTTCATATTTTTTTGCGACATGAAATCATAACGTATGTAGCAACGATTCGTATTTTTAGCACAGGAAGCTCTGTTTTACAATTATTTTTTGAAGAATATATTTATATTTAAAAAAAAGCTCTGTTCTTCGTCTATGAATCTGTAAAAAAAAAAAAAAACATCATAATTAAAATTTTATCTCGACCAGAAATATTTTTGATTCCTCGAACAATAAATTCAAATATCTCTGAACCAAATTCAATTACACTTTGTAAAAGCCTCGAAATAAATAAATAAATCTCTGGGCCCAGATCATCGTTAAAAATAACACATGGCGTTCTTTATAAAGGGGGTGCGTGACATTGGCGTACAAAGGACACGAATGCAGACTTTGCCAGCCAACTTCCATCGGATGTTTTCGAATGCTTTTTCACCAACCAAGACGATTATTTACCCGCCTTAACGATTACACATTGGTCTACCACTGTAGGAAATATCTCTAAATATACTGACAGCCTGGAACTCCGACGCGGAGCAACCTTTGTGCAGCGATTACCACTCAAATCACCGTAAAATTCTCGTGAAATGCGTTTCATTGTACCACGGAAAGTGCAGGTAAAATTTAGATGTTCCCGTTCCAGAAGGAAAATTTTTTTCCCTCCTGGAGTGGAAGAACTTGAAAGACACTTTGAATTTCTTTTTCTAGAGAAGAATCGTTTCATTTTTTTATTATTATTATTAATTTTTATTAATTAGTATCCTTATTAATGATTTATCGAATTATCAATTTTTTTAACGTTTAAATCGAAATTTAGAAATAGCAAAGAGAAAAGAAAAAAAGAAGAAGAATTCTTCAAAATTTCTGATCATAAAAATAGATCGAAGAATTATTAATTTTAAAAGGAAATTTATGATCTATAACATTTTATTCTTTTTAAAATTCTATTTACAATACGAGCAACGCCATTGGCGCGATAATATCATTTTAATCATTGTTTTAACATTCATTCTTATACTTTAGGTGCAAGTACATCTTTACATTTTTGTACATTTCGCTTATCTATGATAATTTATTTACAATTCTTTTGATTCTGCTTCGAACACCAAAAAGTGTCACAATATATGAGACCATAGAAATTATAATAGCTATTATTGTAATAGCTATTATATTATTACATATTATTATAATAATGAGGATATCGATACTCCAAAATATTTAAACATTTTTTCGAAGAAAATTAATGAGGATAATGGTAAGATGTTCTTCCAAACATATATATCAATATTAATTACTTTTTTTATATATATATTATATATATATTTTATTTTGTATTCACAAAAAAAAATAATAAATTGCTTTTATAAAATATACACTAGTTTGTCATTTTGGTATATACATTGTTATATACATACAATGTGTTCACGTTCTTTAATTTTGTCCTATTATAAAATTTTCTTATAATACAAATTTGTTTTCTTTAGTCGTTCCAATCAGATAAATTGTATCCTGCGTATTTATATAATTTGGCACTAACTACATTTGTACTGTAAATATTTTGCCATAGTTAAACTTGCAGGTGCTATTCGCGAAGAACAAACACCGCAGACGTCAAATCGTCCAATTTCCATTTTTCATGGAAAATTTCGATAAAACATAATATCTTATGTTACAATCCATCAAGTAGCGTTAACTAACTCAACGGAGTTACATTCTACGCGATATCACAAATATTTATCTGACATATAATGCCAATAATCACGCTCATATTTTATTTAACATTCCCTTCCAACGTTTTTCACAATATCGTAACTTATACTTTCACAAATTACTTTTCACAAATGTTTTTCATGCTTATTCAGCGTCCTAAAGAGTTTTCCACGTATCACAAAAACTACATTCACAATACGTTCACAAGCTTTCACATCGTATCGTTTTCGCTTTACTACCACAATACTGGTACAATACTACCACTTGACACAATATCAATCTAATGTCTCTTCATTTCCACGAAATAGCACGATTAATCGAAGCCCAGAGTTCATTTTATCGACTATCGATAATCACAAAACACATTTAAGCGGCTTTGTACATATCGCAAATGATCCTCTCGATCGGAATAACACCGATAGTCCTTCTGAAGAACAGCTCCTCGATCGCGTGCGCGGAAACGGAACGAAGAGAAGGGAGTAACAACAACAATTTTCCAAACCTGAGAGCGCCGAACGAGGCGCCGCTTAACCTTTGCCCGAGCGCGAGTTGGGCGCCGTCCCTCAGCCTCGCCACCGCTGCCGCATCCCTCAGCCTACTTCCTGTATTAGGAGACGTAGATCCGTTGCTGCTCCTGCTGCTCGGCAGAGGCTCGCTGTCCAGCCCAGCTTTAAAGAGGACGATCGCCCTGATGCAAGCGTACTCGTGCTGATCGAGGCTCATCGCGTGGAAACCGGCCAAAGTTTCTCTGAAACGAGTCACTTCGACGGCCAGGCCGAGGCCTTGAGGACCCGGCGGAAGGAGAGGGGTTGGATCCAACGTTGGAAGGATCTGGGCCGCGGCGAGTAGAAACAATTCTCTCCAGGAGGATTCCAACAGTGTCAGCTGATCTTCTATGACCAGGTTCGTTCCTACTGCCAGATCTCTGGCCCAGTGGACGTTGAGGAACAGCAACCTGGCTGCTTGCTCGCAGATGGATTCTGCGGTTATCGCTGCAGGGATCAGTGGTAAGGTCGGTAGACCCGCCACGCTCACTGGAATCTGAAATTGGAAGAGCGTTTTAGCAAAAAATATGAAATGAAGGGTTAGGATTTAGTTAGGATTTAGTTTGAAGAGAAATTTTGAATTTGGTACAAAAAGATGGAAAAAAGGATTTGCAAAAAGAGATGTTAATTCAAATTTTTCTTTTGTAATTCGAGCTAAAGTAAATTTTATATCGATTCACATACGTTGACGTACAGAAGCTTTTAAAAATAATGAATAAAATTATAATCTTTAGGTTATCGAGATTTAAGAAGAAGATTAAAATATTATTATTCAATTATATAAAAATATATTAAGAGAAAAATCGTTTATCTACCTTCGACATGGCCATGTTATTGCAGTAAACAGGATGTGGAAGGGGATGATGAGGGGCAGGCGCTGGCACGGAAACTCGAGGTTCATTCGGTGGTTTGGGCAACGCTAGATCCAAAGCTGCTGCCGGTGGGGGTACCATGTTGGCCATCATTTCGGGTTCTTTAAAGTACAAAGCCATCTGCCTTCGCAGAGTCGAGTTTCGCGGGCCACGCTCGTGTTGGACAGCTGGAAAAATATGAAAATTCGAAATTAAACACATCGTTTAAAAACGCCATTAAAGGATACATATTAATTTTTATTCAAAGAAACTCGTCAAACTTTACCATCTTTATTCATGCCGGCTTGAATGCACTTGGCCAAACGACACGCCCTGCACTGGTTACGATGAGTCTTGTCCACCATGCAACCACCTTTAGATTTAGCCTTGCAGACGTATTGACGATTCCTTCGAATCGATCTCTTGAAGAAACCGGCGCATCCATCGCATGCGAATATACCGTAATGTTTGCCCGAGGAATGGTCCCTGCATACTTTGCAAGGGATATCGTAAAGGATTCGACCTGCGATCAACAAAAACACATTATTAATAACCTAAAAGTAACCTTATAACTCCGCATATTAACAATCATACAAGAATCAATTAACCCAATTTCAGAAACAATTGCAACGTTCAACCGATCGAATCCAAACTCGAATCGAAACTATTTTTAATTTCGAAACATCCCACACCACCTCTTCAATTTTCCTTAAACTCGAAACTCGACGAAACGAAGATAGACTCAGCCTCAGGATCGATCCTAAACTCCTGCATTGTTATCCCGTTCCCGGATGGGAAAGAGAATGAGAAAGTGAAAGGCGCGTTTAAGGCTCGAAGAATGCCCGGTATTTTGGATTGGAAACCCGTTTACCATCGAAAACACGGATCCCGTGAACGACGTCTCCGATGAATGGATCGATTTGTCGCCAAGTTAACGCGACCACCTCCTGGACGTACGCGTTTCTATATACCTGTCCGTGTGTACACAGGGCGAGCAAGGGTGTGGTGCGTTTATAATGGGGGTACCAACTCGTTGTCACGGGCTCCGCCCACGCCATTCAGCCCTACGAGACTCGTGAATGGGGGCTGAATGGACCGGATGTGGCTGCTGCATTCACCGCCACTCTTAAGTGAGCAGCAAGAAACACGACACTTCGCTCCACGTATCGCCTGATCTCCCTTGATCAGGCCCTTCCCCCCTCCCTCCTGCTCCTTTATCTTACTTAACGTGGATCTTATTATTATGGAAGGAGAAGGTTAAACGTTTCGGTACCCCACTCCATCTATCGTCGCTTTTTTCTTATTCTCTCTTTTTTTCTTTATTTTGGAATTGAAGGAAGTTTCGATTCGAGTCGTTGACCATCTTTGTGGATAGGCTGTGTTTGCTCGGTAAGAGATAAGAAGAGGAGATTTCTTTGGTTGGATGAGAAGTGGAAGAGCTTTCCCGAAGATTTTTATCGAGGGAAGTTGTTTGAGAGGGTAGTTGGCCAAGAAAGGGGATGATTTTAGAAGATATTACAAAATAGAGAGTTCTGTAAATAGTAAATTGTAAATTTTATTATGTAAAATATTCGTAAGAAATCCTTTGTTTTAATAATTTATTTGCTATTCAATTCTAACAATTTATTTGATTATATTCGTGAATTCGTGAATTGTAATTATGGATTAAATTAAATCTAATGTCATTTAGGAATTTCATCGTGAGTGAAACTCTTCGACTAGAAACGAGGAACAACCTGTTGATTTCAACCAGCAAGATTTCATCAAACGTTTTTATCTCGATATTTAAATTTATATTAATATTCTTTAGGTTTTAAATTTAAAAGAAAAAAAAAGGGAGAGGAAGAAAAACACGGGGGAAAGAGTGTTTTCGCGTAAAATATCGATGAAAAACGTATGTACGTACGTATTACACGAAATACGATGCTCGCGTACTAACTACTGCAACAAGCGGGTTGCAATGACAGGGGTGCACCCTTGCACGACACTGGAGACCCTTTTCTCCCACGATAAAGGGAAAGTTGAATCGCAAACACGTATACTTTCCACGTGGAGAAAGAGTTTTACTAAAACTTCAATTTCCAAGAAGTTTCTTAGCCAAATACTTTTTTTTTTTTAAGCAAAATTAGCATAAAATGATAATAGAAAATTTCATAGCTAAAGATGGTAAAAAATTATTTTAGTAATATTTCAGAAATTCCATTCACCTATCTCCGTATAATAAACTATCAAAATTTTAATCTTAATTTATAAAACAGGATTGAATTTAAGCAAACGTATTTGAATCTTATAAAAATACTGGCAAATTAAACGAATCATAGATATCATCAACCTCGATAAACTACTCCATTAAATCCTACCAAAAAAAAAAAAAATTAAAATAAAATAAAATAGCAAAGACGATACAAACTTTTGATTTACCCACAAGCCTATCATTGCTCGTATATTACGCGTTTTATCTCGATACGAAATTTCAAACTAACTCGAGAAGGACGACGAAACGATTGCAGGAAGAGAGGCGTGCACGTAGGAACGCACATGCTCGAATCACGCGATGCGCGCCGTTATTCGAGCGTTGCATCAAATTTGCATTCGATCGGCGTGGCTCGCGAGTCATCCGCGATTGAATTTTTCATCGTCGTGTAATCGAGGACTACGCATTACCGAGCGCCGGTCATCTTTCCTTCCTCGTCAATCATTCATGGAATTTTTACAGTGATCGAGGCGCAACCCTCCGGAAAGGAGAGACGGGCACACCAAGCGCACGCTTCGTTTGCGATTAACCACACGCGATTCTCGCGATTATCGAGAGGAATCGATTTTGATTTTCTCTTGATTTTTTTTCAGAAGATTTTCTAAAGAGTTTTCTGTTTATTTTTTATTATATTTTTTTTTTTATTTTTTATTATATTTTTTTGATTTCTTTTTTTTTAAGTGTATAACAAGAAAGTAATTCATTTCGTAGTTGGATTATTATATTTTCTTTTATGATTTTATTTAAACAAGAATAAAAAATTCCAATGTCTCGATAATCATCCTGTTTTTTAGATTTTTAAGATTAAAGATTGAAGTTATAGGTAGTTTAAGTTTTCCTCGCCTAAGACGGAGATTCATCAGGGGATTGATTCGTACATCGGATGTGATTCACTCTTGACAGAAAACGTTATTTTTATTAAGGATTTTTATGGTTGAAAGGATGTTTGGTTAAAGTAAGTTTGATGTTGCAATTGTTCGTGACGGCGAAATTGAGGGAAAAGTTCGCGATTCGGGGTGAAGGGATGAAAAAGGGTGAACTATCGTATATAATTCGTTGCACGACAATTTTAAGTTGTGCTAAGAACTTCTTCGTAATGACTAGATAACTTTTCCTGCGAATTCTCTTTTTTTGTTCGTATATTACAAATTTATAATATATTATTTTGTTATTTTAATAACGAATGAAACGAACAAATAAACAAAAGATATTATTTTTTTTATGCAATCAGATATATACAAACAGGTACAATTTTTTTCTTATCGTATCTTATCCCTTGGACGAGAGACGAAATACGAAAAGAGGTAGAACAGAATATTTCGTTTTACGAGAAGTAAACATAGTATTCATAGGCGATTTTAGGATAATCTTTCTTTAACGTTATACGCTACGAAAAACCTCCGGAATTCTAGGATTAAATTAAAAGCCTTTTACCTACCAGAATTAAGGAAATCTCCATTCATTTTAATTATTGTGTAAACTAAATGATCCGTAACATTATTATAATATAAAATATTCGCGTTGCAAAATAAAAATTTTAAAATCCATTTAATAAAAATGTATCCATTAAAAAGTATCGTTAAATAACGCGTATTCACATCTATATTGATTAATCCTTTCAAAATCAAATTATTTCGCTTTTTCCTTTTACGAATTTTTCATACAATCCAAACCCTTTAAAATATCGTTTTCATCATCAACGATCATTCAAATTGCGAACGAACAGGAAGAGCTACCTACTATCTCTGATCGTTTCGATGACATCATCGTATCATTGTTCATCGGGTGTTACATGTATCGTTAGTGGAGCATGGGAATTCCACGGCATGTGTCGAAAACCGGATGCCCTCCCCCCATCAATGTATCGATGTACACACGTAACGCACGCGCTATCTACTCGTCATCTGTTCGAGAATATAAGGGGTTGCATCCACCCTTTGGCCAAAGATACGCGCGATTTTTTCGTATTTGCTCTTCTTCATTCCACGTTCCATCCCCTCCCAATTACACCCAATAAGTTTTGTTATCGCGTTAATAGTATGCGATAAGCGCTTTGAACTTGGAATTAATAAAAAATATCCCGAGGCTATTCTATCCGTAATTTGGATTCCTATCCTATAAAAGAATATTGTTTGGAAGCAATGAATATCAAAATTAAAATTGAAGGCAACAAATTGAACGATATAACGTTCTGTCAAAATTTTGTCAATCCAATTGTTATCGTGTTATAATTCTTAAATAGCATTCAAATTGTGAGAATAGAGAGAATGTTTAAAACTGTAAAATAATTTTCGAGTTAAGCTAGCAATGAATCATAGGGGATACATTGATTTGTCGACAAATGACGCTCGAATTCAACCACCCACGACAACCTGTTACCGCGCCACGGAGATTCGTAATTTACCGCGTAACACGTTGGCCATCTGCCATTATTTTCTCATGGATGAATGCCATCGGAGACGAATCATTTAAATGCACGTCCCGTTTAAATGCCGCATATGCTTTTTGTTTCACACGAGACCACCCTTTCTCGCTACGGAATAATTAACAACCCTTCCTTTCTTCGATATGATTAATGCTTTACAAGTGTGAGTATTAATATTTTTCAATTCGAAAAATATGAAATGTGAAATTAGACGAAGAATTATATCGATGAACGTATAAAAAAAGGATTTCTTTGATAATTTGAACTATAAATAAAAAAGGACAAATTGAATAAATTAAAAGTAATAATTAAAATTAATATAATTCAAGAAAGATTATATTTTTAATCTTGAAATGTTAAATTTAATATAATTGAAGAAAGATTATATTTTTAATCTTGAGTAAGTAGAATTATAAAATGAATAAAATGAAAATTCTGAAAACTTAGATGTTTGATTTATTGATTTATTATTGACTTTTAACAACTCGAACTGTTCTATTTCCTACTCATAAATTTATATGTATATATACAGTTACTTAGAAAACGATTTGGAAAACTGTATACAGTTATTTCCTTGCAAACTTACTACGAATAAATAAAGCCCTAAAAACTTCGTTTATCATAAAAGAATAAAAATTTTAGTTAATCACGTTCACGATTTAGGATCGATTCAATCCAACCATCGTTCGATAATCATAAAAAATTTTTAATGAGCGTCAAAATTTCTGGGTACTTTTCAGATATTACAATCCTGGCGATAAAAATAAGGATAGAAGAAAAAGGAATTGACCTCAGGTACGATCCTTTCTAAAAAAAGGACAATTGTTACTTTCTCAAATGATGACACCAGACACCCAGAAAGTAATAAACAATGGCCTTTATGAGTGTGGTTACAGAGGTAATGAGCTGTCATAAGTTTTTAGTGTAGTATTTTGTCAAAATCTACGATGCCATAAACATGGCTACCGTTAGGCAAAGTCGAAAAATAAATTTCTCTTTTTTTTTTCTTTTGCTATACATTTGCTATACATTATAAAAAAATAAAGAGAAGAATTATTTTAATGGAATGAGAGAATATTTATTATAAAAATAAATAAAAAGTAAATAATAAAATTCTTGATAATCAAAATAGAGCTATGATTTTTTTGGATTTTTAAGAAATGATTTATTAAAATATTTTGGAAAATTCATTGACACGATGTTGTAATTGTAATACTCTTTCAATTTTTTCTGATATAATATCAATAATAACACGCTCGTAATTATATTACGATTCTTAACTTTTGGAATAATAGATTATTATTGGTAGGCGACATAAATGTATCGTGTTATGTTTATCAACAATACTACAGACTACAAATATCATGTATGGTTTATTAGAAAGAGAATATTGTGAATATAGCACATTTCATAATAAGATATTAACTCGAGCTATAAACAGAAAATCAAAATGATTTCTTTTAATTTTTAATTTTGGAGAATTTAATAAAATTGGAAAAGAATATTAATTAAAATCAATCTATAACAAATATCCGATCACATATCAGAAATCCTCGTTAAACATTATCAATACTTAAAATTCGATTCAGATTCATTTAAAAAATATTTTCTCCTCCAAACCGTGCATATCGTGTTCAAAAAAATTTTTTAACATCGTTAAAAATAAACGAAAGATCTATTATATTCAATCCTGTTATACGTAAAAATACAGCTTCGAGAAACGATCTCACGACACTAATCGTACCATTCATCATGATTACACGTCCACGTCACAAAATATCAAACCAAATCCAAACCGATCCGAATTAAATCCATATAAAATAAATCTTGAAACTTACTGGAAGATGCAGGCACTTTCTGCTGCGTCACGGACATGTGTCCGATCTGCGGATCCTGGCTCTGCATCCTCGCCACGAATCCTTTCCACGGCACACCACTACGCGTCTGTCGATAATAAACGTGAAGCCAAAAAGGAAAAAGGAGAGAGAAAAAAATTAAAAAAAAAAAAAAAGAATCAAACAACGAAACAACGATAGTTCCACTCCGAATCGTTATCCGTTATCCGTGGTCCCATTCGCAACACGAAACGAGAAACTGGAATTTTGTAAACGCGAGAGGAGAAGAAACGATTTTTCGAAAAAAAAATCGGAAACATTCGATGCACTTCCTCCCCTGGATGGATGGCGAGAACCGAGGATGAAAACTAACTCCTCGATGAAACGTGACTGACAGTCATCGTGGCAAGGACTTCTTGATGGTAAGCATCGGTTCCTGATCGTTTTCAAACAAACGTCGGTTGATTGGCCGACGACTTCCCTACCCTTCGAAAAAGGGCGGTCCTTTTCGAGAGGAGCCGGTTCCTCCCCGCCTAGGAACGGGGGTTGAACGTCAGCCGTGCACGGGGTGGAGAGGTGGCGAACGCGGACGAAGGACGTCAGATGTCTCCCACCCTCCGTCGACCCTTTTGTACGAAGCTATTCAACCGGGACCGAGGTGAAAACGAAGCCACTTCCACCCCTTTCGCCCGTGGACCTCTTGTCGCCGGTTTGTCACCCCCCTTCCCGCGTGAACCAAGGCTAATTTCGTAGCCGCGTTTATTCTCGGATTAAAGATAATCGCGCTCGGTCAGCGCTTGTTTTTGCGTGCCTGGAGGGGATGCTAGGTGAGGATTATTCCTTTTCTTTTCTTTCCTTTTCTTTTCTTTTTTTTTTTTTTTTTTTTGGCAGGAGATGATTTTGTGGTTTGTTGGTCGCTTGCACTCGAAGGTGGAAAGGAAAATTTTAAGAAAGAGGGGAACGTTGTAATTGCAATGGTTTTTATATCTTGTATTTATATCTTGTTAGTAACGAAAGTGGAAGGGATGGATTATTTCGTTTTTTTTGAAAGGAGACGATGATTTTGTGATTTTTCTTTTCTCTGTTTTTCCCATGATGGAAGAAATTTTGAAATGGAAATGTTTTAATCCAATTATGATACTTTTTCTATTTTGGAAGATTAAAGGATTTTGTTATTCTAAAAGTTTTTTTAGAAATGGAAAAAATTTTGAGACGATGATAGATTTATAGAATATGAATTATATAAATTCAATTCGTATTGAATCATCAATATTTTAATATTCATTAAATCATAAAATCTGAAAGAATAATATAATAAATAATATCTATTAAATAAATATACTTTGTATTTAACAAATCTATATTTTGACAATCAACACAATTTATTATTACCTAAACGTAACATATCGTGCACGCTATAAACATTCGTTACAAACATCAAACCACGTACTCGCATAATTCTCGAGATCAATTGATGCGTGGATAAAAAATATCAGGTACAAAACGACTGGAAAAAGAGAGAGACATACACATAGAAAAAAAAGACAAAGGAGAGAAAGTTGGAAAGAAGAGCGGTAGAAAGAAAACATCCCCGTATTTCGATGAATAGAGATACGTGGAGGAGGTTAAACAGAACGTATACCACCACGGAATAATGCGCACAGGCAGATGCGCCGTTTCCTGACTCCCTGACTCCATCTTGAATTATCTCATGCCGGATCCCTTCGTGACGAGCGCACCCCTCGCGCGGGAACATGGCTTAGGGGTTGCGCGTACACACGCTCGTCGGACGAGTGCACGAATTACGCGAAGAATCCGTCATAACCGACGTAATATTACGGAGATTGGATCTCTCGATCGTGCACTGGATCACCCTATACCGGTTTCAACGAGCCTCTTCGATCGTATCAACCGCGGGGTGGATTTATTTCTTCTTTTTTTCTTTTTCTTTCTTCCTTCGACGTGGAGATTGATGCGATAATATATAGTTTAGAAAGGAGGATTAATTTTTGAGGAATAATTGAGCAAAAGAGAGAGATGAAAGGGTTAATTTGAAATATCTGATGAATGAACGACGAAATATTTTTGAAGGTATTATAACAGAATGAGTGAAAGGTGGCTGGAATTATTTTTTTCCAAGTGTAAGAGAGTGGATAATTTTATGGATGTTAAAAATTATAGGGATTCAAGTTCATTTCATATACCGTCGATTTGTTCGGACAACGAATGAAAGCATTCGACTTTGGCGAATGCTCGCCGAACCGTGGCTCGGTTTTTACCTCTGCCGCAATATGTCGAGGGAGAAGATTATCCGCGTAACTATCCCGAAGAGTTTTCACAAAGCCACTCTATTCTTCGTTGCGATGGTATACGTGGATATATATATATATATATAAACGGGAGAAGAAGAGGCACGAAGAAGAGATTCGAGTCGCTTTGTCAAGAAGGCAAATGCAACTAAACGGTCCGTAATAGGGCCGGAATCAAAATACAATTGTTTAGGGGTGCGTTGGGAAGGATGTTCACAAAAAGAGACGAATCTATCGAAGCTTTTTCTTTTCTTTTTTTTTCTTTTTTTTTATTTTTGAGGAGCTGGAAACAAGCGTGAAAATGGAACGTAATATTCTCTCTGTAATTCTTTTCTAAGAGCACGTAGATATAAATTCCTTTTCTGTTTAATTTGAATTGAACATTGTATTTATCTGAAAATTATTAAATATAATAGACAAAATTTATCTCGTTCTTTTAATTTTCTTTTTTTTTTTTTTATCTTATCGTTTTTAATCGAAATAGTAGAGAAAACGATAGATTTGTCTAAATAACTGGTTACAGGTTTTGTATCGAAACACAACTGTCTGGCATCGCACGATGAGCTTACAGAAACTGGTACTGAAACTCAGAGTGCTTGTGACCAGTGAATCGTACGCACGAGGGGCTGTTGCCGTTTTAAGGGGACAAATTGGTGGTGGTAGCTTACATTGTGGAATATAATGTTATCGATCTCGTTTCATGCAAAATGGCATGCGATTATTCATTCATTCGAAATGTAATCCTTAACTCGATTGAAGTTAAGTATTTTATTTAAAAGATCAAAATTTATTTATCCTTTCCTTTAATGAAAAAATATAAATTTTATCGACATATTGAAAGATATATATATAAAACAATTTTGTTTATTATTCATTTTAAAAGTTGAAAAATATATTGTTACAATACAAATATTGTCTAAAAATTATAAGCTATAACCATTGAAAAAGATATTGACTTTATTGATATTTACTTTATGTAAGGAGTTAATAAAGATCAAAAGAACATAAAAGTTCCGAAAATTAAAAGTTAATTTTGACGTTTGACAATAAAGTCGTCCAGGTAAAATTTTATTGCCAAATTGTAACTTTTAAAGTAAAATTTACTTTTAACTGTGCAAATATCTTTCATACCGTCCAAAACATGTTTATATATATAATTAACTTGTAAAGGTAATAAATATAATTATACTTTGTCAAAACACTCCTTTCAGGATAGTTACTGACACAACAAAAATATAACTGTAACCCATTTAGAAAATTTTTCATATTTATCCGAAATCCAGTAATTCTTTCCATTTTCAAAAATACCTAAATAAAACATCGATATTTCAAAAGTCTCAACATTCATTTTATTCTCTTTGTCGTATTTAAAACCACATCGTAAATATAGGAACGTGTTTATTTAGACATAAATTAACTTTATCCTGTAACAAAAATTTCTGTATCAGTCCAAAGAGTTTTATTGCTTTCTTTTCACTCAAAACCAAAGCCAAATAAATAATAGAATAATTGAAAAATATGAACACGAAGAAAAATAAAAAAAAAAAAGGATAATAATAAAATATCAAAAGGAAATTGTATAGCTCAAAAATTCTCAACATCTTATCATTTTACCGAAATCTGTTTCGTGACACGCACAAATTACTTTTATCCTCCTGTGAAAACAAAATCCTCCTTCTCCAAGGAATCATCTTCAAACACACACAGGTAAATTTCAAGAGATAAGATTCCAGTAATAGGGTCAATAGGACATAAGCAATACAAAGCCAGTTTATAAGCAGTTTACAAGCACCATCCCTAATCGTGCTATGAATATCGTCGTTAATTCGAACGGATTACCCTGTGTCCAGACAAAGAGATGTATCGATAACGAGTTGACAGGTGGTTCATAGTCACTTAGAAACAATAATAAAATACCTCTTAAAAATGGTTGAAAAACGATAATTATAGAAACTGAGAGAAAAGAGAGAGAGAGAGAGAGAGAGAGAGAGAGAGAGAGAGACATAAATAGAGCCTCGTGCTTTAGCAGCTTTAACAGTTTTAAATCCAAAAACTTGCGAGCTCAGGTAAATTTCTTGCTCTCGTCTTATTTCGCCGCTATCTCGTCATCTACGTCATCACGGGGTGCAGGAGAGAACGTGGCAGTTGCAATAATCCTGAGGCCTACCCTATTCAACTATTTGCGCCTTGTTTTACTGGTATTGCATTTAACAAGGTTTCGAGAGGTTTCGTCTCTTTGGATTATAAACAGAGAGCCGATCGAGAGAATGTTTCTGTTGGCATCTGTTTTGTAGGAAGCAAAAGGAAGATTTCGTTATACCCTCTTTAGAATAATAATTCTTCCAAGACGGATGGACTGGGGAATATAATACAATTTTTAGTTTCGTTAATTGATTTTATTCCAAGTAATGGAAGGAAATTATTAAATCAATTAATTACCCCATCGAAAAAGATTTAATCTTTACAAAAAATAACATCTACGGTATCGAGGATCAAAGCCCTGTATTTAAGCGTGAAAAGACGCTGGACCCTGCTAAGTCCAGGCGTGTTCCGGGCCAAGGAGCAAGAGATCTTGCAAAATTAGGTTGACATTTTCCTGGTCGAAGCGCCTTCTCGTTCATGGGATCATTGGAGCAAGTGATAATCCCATACCGATCATACGGTCGACTTGGCAGACACTATGGAATACTCGGCGAAAATACTCGGTCAAAATTTCCAGCCAGCCTCGAGATCTAAAAAGAGAGACGCAAGGGCAGAAGAG